TCAGGTTCATAGTCCTGATCAAAGGCTTCTTCTAAGTAACCTTGTTCCGTGTCATCCACTCCTGCAATTTGATCGCCATCTTGAAATGTCTCCAAATCTCTCTTCTTATCAAAGAACTTCATGGAAGGAACACCTTCGGCAGCAGCCCAAGCTTCAACACGCTGGATTACTTGATCTCTTCTTATTGAAGAACTTCATGGAAGTAACACCTTTGGCAGCAGCCCAAGCTTCAACACGCTGGATTACTTGGTCGGTAACGGATAGTACAACGACCTTGGGTCAAGAAATCATCTTCTTAGTATTGAGGTTGAGCACTCGGTGCCCAGTATTGTCCCTTTGTAGGTTCAATGTAAATTGCTTTGATACTTTGGGGCTCCATCAAATTGTTGGAATCCGTCCCACTTGCATGAACATACTGTCCAAGCTCAGCAACCATATCACTCTTGTAGTTGATATTGACATTATCAATGAGTTGCTGCAGACTGAAATGTGAGAGGATACTGTCTTTCTGGGGAAAGACATTCAATAGCTTGGCGGCTCGACGCCCAAGACATTCAGTGATCACCTTTGGGACCACTTTGTAGGGTAATCGTGCAAGAGCTACTCTGACTCTCTCTTTCAGCGTTCGATTGTTTCGCTCGGCTGTAGGCTTGTGGTCTCCAGCTGCAGTCGGGTCAATAATAACACCCATATTGTCTAGCATATCATCCCTTAGAGGAATGAATGCCCAAGCACACTTGATTGTCTTGACATGAAAGCCTGCCTTGTTGTAGCGGCGGAATATCTTATCCAATGCTTCAAATACAGGGTCAGTCTTCAGGTTCTGCATTGGAATACATGAGCCACAACGCACAGTGGTATCAATGCAGGTGAGAAACTTAGCATCTCTGATCTCCATGTGATCAATACAGACGGTAATAGATCGATTATGTTGATACAATTCCTCTGGTGGACTGAAGAGGTCATCGTGTGTCTTCTTCAGGGTTGGTCTTGTTGACTTGCCTTTCAATGTAGATGGGTCAGGTCCAAAGATTGCTTTGGCATGATTGATCGCTTCTTCAGTGATAGGAAAGTTCTTGATGAGACCAGATCGGATTGCATACTTCAGACTTTTGGTGCTTGAAGCATTGAGGATGTGCATCGCACTTCTCGCTTCCATCTCAGCCTTGGCTTATCTTGGAGTGAATCCTTCCTTGTTCTTTCAAACAGTTGCCATCTTTGAGGTCATTTCATGTCCAGCATATCCATTCTGTTTGTTTGAACAAAGTTCAAAATGGGGTTGATTATTTAAGTTGCTTAACTGGCAAAGGTACATTGCACTTGTCTCTTTGGCACCTGGTTTGACATTTGCTCCAAGTTGCTCCAATACATAAACACCCTTACGATTCACAAATCGCATCTCGGTTTCTCCATCACAATGCACAATAAAGGCATTGTCAACATCAGTATCCATAGTAATGCTGTATCCCACAGCAATCATCTCGCGCATAGCAAGTACATTGGCAATTCCATCTTCATCATAATAGACTGGAGGCAGAAATCTTCCTAGAAAACCTTCCTTGTCAAGAACTCTGCTGCCCACGTTAATTTGCATATTGAGCTCCTTCTCAGCATGACGGAGTCCATGCATGAGCTCACCATTACAAATGGTGGTGTTTGTGCAACCACTGTCCACGATGACGTGATCGTACAACCCAAATGGATCTCTTTCTCTTCTGCGGTTTTGAATAAACTGCAGAACTTGATCTGCTTCAGTAGCAAGATCAGGCAAATCTTCATCTTCACTAGCATAGTGTAATTTGGCCTGAAGTTCAACATTTGTTGTACCAGCAGGACATGGAATAAGATAGACATCATTGTCATTCTCATCCTTTCCCTTGATAGCATTGTGGAAGACATTTGACGTATCAAATGGCCAGTCTTCAGGACCTGCAGAGTTTGAGCTTGAGTTGCATCAAATCCTTGGCGCACTTGAGCAACACTGAAGCCTTGATGGCTGAGTTGCATTCCACTGAACGCAAT